GTGTGTGTGTGTGTGTGTGTGTGTGTGTGTGTGTGTGTGTGTGTGTGTGTGTGTGTGTGTGTGAGCCTGAAATGTTCTCTGCAGGCATAACTGTGTCAAATAGCACTGAATCCACCCTAAAGAGTGCACGTTTGGGTTGGGGGCTTCTCTTTTTTCTCTGATTTGGCTCTGCTGTGCTGCGAGACTCATAACTGCTGAGAGGATTTCCACAGCAGAGGGGGAGCAGTGCTGGTTGAAAATGTGCATTACCGCCACACTCAGCCAACTAACACTCATGCACACTTTCAAGACCATTCATTATTCATTACTCCCCGCTGCCTTCCACAGCCCGAACTCGGTCTCGTGCTCCGAGCTGAGCGGAAGCGTGCTCCGGATTCAGCGTACGGGCCTGACTCAGGAGTACCGACTGAACGCTTTCACAGCATCATCAGGACGTGATTCTTATTAGAAAGCGATTGTTTAATGTGTTTCTAAACTTGGAAGTGTTCTCATAACCTGCATCCTGCATGTTATCCAGGCTTCCTGTTTCCTGAGTGAGAAGAATGAATCGCAGAAATGAGCAATGAAAGTTGGCTTTTACTGTCATATATAATCACCTACAGTATGATTTACAGATGAGGAGCAAGGAAATTTTTTTAAATCAGCTTTTCCAAACAACCTAGTCTTATTTTATTTACTTACATTATTTTACTTTGCACATAGAAACAAAATCAGCAATCCCGGCTTATTCTTGTTTGGCAAATTTCTCCAGCTCCTCCAGATTTGATGGTCTTCTGGCATGGATCTTGGTCTTCAGGTCAGGGCTTTGTGCAGGCCAGTGAGCTATGTTAACTTTGGTCAGCAGGAGCGACGTATGTTTTGGCTCGTTGTTGTGCTGAAGACAAAGGGATGACTCAGATCCAGTTTTGCTACTGACTGCTGGAGTTTGTCACATGTCCTTCTTTCTTCATGATTCCTTCCACCTTAATGAGATTCCCAGTTTCAGATACACTGGAGCATCTTCACAGCATTTTGCTCCCATCACCGTGCTTCACCGCGGGGATGGTGATCTCTGGATTGTACGGCTCTCCCTTCTTTCTCCAAACAGCTGTGGTTTCATCTCATCTGACCAAAGGATGTGTCTCCAGTAAGCATAATCTTTCTCCAGGTCGTCTTTGACATACTTCCATGTAACTGTACGGTGCGTCTTCGGCAGAAGTGGAATTTTTCTTGGCCTGTACCCCCTCCTTTGCAGGGTTCTAGTGATTTTCTTCTTTGAGACTACAATTCCTGAAAAAGTCATTCACTAATGCCCTGGCAGTGGTTCTGTGGCCTTTAGACACATCTCTCACAAGTTTTCTTTCCAAAGTCTTGGAAATCTTCCTATTTCTGACAGGCTTGTTGTTTACTATGTGGCTCTCGTTGAATTTTTTTGATGATACTTTTGGAAACTGTGATGTTGTATAGCCATCTCCTGCTTTGTGAGCATCAACAACTTTTTCTCACAAGTCTAAATTGATGTGTTGTGTTTTTGGCATGATGCTTTCTCAGTGACAGCTCAAACCCTCGCTAAAGTTTTTATACTTTGTGCAAATAGCATGCTAACCCTGAATTCTAATTAGATTATACAGGCATTGTGCATTACAAAGTTAAAGCACATCATAGTACAGCAGTGGTTTGTGCTGTAGCTCAATGAAAAGGTTGGGTTTTCAGGTGGGGAAATATTTTTTTAATGACATATTTGTTATTTTGCACAAATTGAAATAATTGATTCTTTCTAAAGAAATGTATCATGTTCAGAAATGCTATGTTAAAATTACTCGCTCTAGTAAAAAAAACAGTTGGGAAAATTTCTAATAAAAAGCTTTTTCATACCAAGGACTAATAATTTTGTCCCGTAATTTGCACTCTGTAATTAGTTTCCTAAAAATATCCAAGGTAATGCAAAGCTGTTGAGCAATATAACTCCAAATAATCTAAGGTCTGCCATCATGAACTTAAAATAAAAGAGTGTACCTTAAATTCTAAATAATAAGCAATATAAGTGTCATGAATAAATGCTAAATCACACAAATACAAATATGTATTTCTTTGTTATTATATACACGTTATTTTATTTTAGAAATCTTATGCACAAAAATACTAAGAGGTTAATTCAAGTTCATACAGTGAACGATAATCTCCTTCCTTCCTGGGACATCAACATCTGTCTGAAGTCTGTGACCTTGAAGAGTCCCCCCCCCCC